GCATTCCTCAAAATATCACTTGTATGCAACGGAAACTTAGTGACAAAAATTCGCTAGTAGTGAGAACTACTGATTTTTTAACACAGGAACACCACGAAAGCTAAGACATACATTCACCCAGCAGCCAGCTGAGCCCAGCAAAGAGCTTCTGTCTGCCCTGAGGTGCTCCTCAGGATTTTCCCACCGAGCTGGGTTATTGCACCCCTCCCTCCCCTGCCAGGGGCACTGCTTGAGGGCACCAGGCCCTAACGCACAGCACAAAAAGAAGCAAGTATCAAAGTCCTGCTGTTTAATCTATTCAGAGTAACACAACTCATTTTGACACATGGGCTTATGAAAGCTGTGATCACACACCCAGTTTGGGGCAAACTGGAGGTAGTGGCCCAGCTTCACCAGCACAGCTGGATCTGGAAGAGCACATCTGCCCATGACCTTGTTTAGGACGCTTTTCGCAGTGGAGCATCTGCTTATCTATACCTGGGTCACTCCCAGTCATTCTCATGGAAGTAAATTTTTAAAGAAAAAAACACACCAAAAGAACCACAATAGGTGGCATTTCAGAGATGCCGATTTCCCAAGGAGGGCAGTTTCAGAGAACAGAAATACTAAGGAAGTTTCAGTGTGTTTATATAATATACACTTATATAAAACAAATGATGAGCAGAAAAAAAAAATAAAGGTAATATCCCAAGGCAACAGAGAGGAAATCAAGTGTATCAAAGCTATTCCTGAACTCACATTACCTACCCACTTGGCAATGCTGACTTTTAAAATTATACTACACCACTCATTTTTACTCTCATGATGCAAGGGAAAAGGGAAGAAAAAACTCCCCAACCTTACCCCCCTCTTTTTATTAAAATATCTTCAAAATAGATCTGTATTGTTACTTCAAGGTTACAAATGTTAGTACTGTATACATTTATAGATGAGGTATTCCTTTCTGTCTGAAGCACATGAGGTAATAAGTAGCAGGAATTGTCACGGTGATTTATTAACATATTCTCTGGGAGAAGCCCTGCACCTGCGTCTGTGCAGACAGAACACCCACGAAGGCTGAACTCACCCTTACGCAGCCCACAAGATCTTAAAAGGAAATGCTCCAAATTTAAACCTGCTCCAACAGGTGCCTTTTACTGTCTCACTTTGCATGACCATAAATATCAGAGGTGGAGCAAAAAGCCCCCCATCCATTGTAATCGTGCTTTGAAAACAAATACCTTTGCCCCCTCCGAAAGCAAAGGCAGCAGCTATGGAATTCTCATCATTTCCTCACTCCTTCATCCTGCCAAGACTCAAGTCAGAGAGATGTCACCAGTAAAACCAGACTCCAGGGATAAGCACGTAACTTAATTTTTTTCCTCTTCAAAAGGCCCTAAGCTGGCTCCGAAACTTCCCCAAACTGTATTTCTTTCATTCTAGTATCTCATCTCGCAGCTATTTGCCAAAGTGAATGACATGCACAGGCTGTTCGTGGCTTTTCATAAGCTCTCATTACCTAAACAGGGAACCATTTCTTTGAAAATGCTTTCCCCAGCAGCACCAGCCTCTCTAGGCACCACTGATAAATTTGTCTCCTGGCCCATCCTGATGTACACCGAACCGTGCCTGCGTGGATGCATCTGATACTGGTTTGCACTTGTTTACTGGAGGCAGGATGCTACCTGTGGGACTTGTCAGAGTGATTAACAGCACGGCGGGGGGGAAGAAAAAAAAAAAAAAAAAAAAAGACAATTTTAACAGCTGAATGCAAAGCTTTGCCAGATTTGCTCTGGCAAGCAAAGGAGCCAAATCCAGACTCCTCTCTGTGGTGTAACAAGGAGAGGTATTCTCAAAACCAAAATGGCTACACACAACTCACAAAACCCCAAAACAAATCAAAACAGCAAATCTGGAAAAGAAATCCCAACCAAACTGGGCAAAAGAATAACAACTTACACCATGGACTTAGAAATCCTATTAAAATCTTTCATTCTGTAACACTTTCGTTATTACGAAACGCTTGAGTCAAGAGCAAATAAATATTTAATACTCAACAGGTACTCAGGAGAATGTGTGTTTTCCCCTGTCCCTCCCCACCAGCTGCTCTTTTATGGCAGGAAAGTGAAGAGCGTGAAATCCAATGATAGGAAGATGGCAAAGGTCAGGAAAAAGGTTTTTCTTCAAGGATTGGAATTAGCGTTCTACAGCTTTGCATGTTTTGTCAACACAACTTCCCTCCTGTGAGGAGGGGAAGCCAAAGGTCCTTTGAACCATTTCTGCATGGGATCTAGACTTTTACCAGTAACAAGACTCTTAGCTTCAAAAGTAAGTTCCTCTTCCCACTCCTTTCAC